GGTCCGGGGCCGGGAGGGGGGCATAGAGTTTCCCTGGTGTTGGCCAGAGTGGCCACCAGGGAAACCTGGGGAGGGCTAGCCTCCCACTAGTTCGAATTAAGGGGCTACACACCCCTTAATTCGAACTAGCTAGTTCGAACTAGGCTTAATCCTCGTAAAATGAGGTTTACCTAGTTCGAACTAAGCGCTCCGCTAGTTCGAATTAAATTCGAACTAACGGAGCGCTAGTGTAGCGCCTATTAAAGTTAGTTCAAACTAACTTTGTAGTGTAGACAGACCCTAAAAGTCCAGGAGTCCTTCTGGAAAACTACTTGAGTAAAAATACAAAAGTATCACAGCTTAAACGTATGGAAGCAGTGTTTGTTTGTTAGCTAGATGGCTGTAGCTAGCTAAATCTTTTCTCTGATCTGAGGAAGTGGGTCTGGCCCACGAAAGCTCATCATCTAATAAACCATCTTGTTAGTCTTTAAAGTGCAGCATAGTCCTGTCTTTTGTTTCAGCTACACCAGACTAACACAGCTACATCTCTATTACTATTCTAAAAAAGCTACTTGAGTCAAAGAGGAAGTTTCCCAAACACAAATGACAGGAGTAAAGCACGAATGCCGCACAAATGTCCTTGAGTCATGTACCCAGGTGTTTCTACTTAGTTACTTTCCACCTGTAGTGCGGTCTAGTGGTTAGAGCGGGGGTACGGTGATACTGAAGGGAGCTACAAACCGGGTCTCCCAGGGTCTCTGTCATTTCCCCTCTGGACAGTCAGAGCTCCCAGGGGCAGGTTGTCACAGAAACAGCCACATCCCCGTCACGTGGTCACAGAGTCATTGGGGGGGCTTCTCAGAAACCCTCCTCCTGCAGTTGCTGGGATGGGGGCTGATGGCTTTTCTACCCAGTCACAGCTGGCTCACATCTGGCCCACCCTGAGAAAGATCGAAGGGCCCCGTTCCCACCCGCCACCGAGATCAGTCGCTGTCACCCCAGTGCCCACCACAGAGACACTGGCAGGGAGATAAGCAGGGATGGGGCAGCAGAGTCCTGTCACCCAGAGCAGCCCTGGACCCTGCTAGACACGTCCCCACCGGGGTTTTCTCCATCCCATGGGGCATCATCCGGCCAACTGTGCAGGGATCCAGCTACTGGGCTGACTCATGTTCTATCCTTCCCCCCAGCCCGTGTGGTCGGCTGTGGCTGGAAACAGACGTACTTGAGCCCTGCAGTTAGATGAGCGTGTGGGTGACTGTGAGGTTTCCTGCTCCCTTGAGTACACCCAAAACTGAGTCTATAAAGCCCCTATGCCTGCAGCAGGGCACTGTTCTTGTACTGACTGCAAACATGCAGGTCCACATCTTGTTTCTGCTCCCCATGGCCTTTCTCCTGCTGCCTGGGACTTGGTCTGGTGAGTACAGCTGGGTTTGAGGGACCATGGGACTTTGGGGAGAACAGGCAGCCTCGGGGATTTACTTCTGTGGGAGGTACTTGGGACACACTGTACCTGTATGTTCACCCCTTCTACAGGATTCAGATAATTCTAAAGAAAACATGCCCTGTGCTGTATCATATGAAAATTCATAATTTGCTGATCATTATTGTCCTTATGTGTAGCCTGTAATATTAGCACATTCTACTGTGTGGTGTGGCTATGGCATCTTCCAAAGGTGGGGAACAGCCACAAACTAGCTCTCCAGAGATGAAAGAAAAACACACAATTGCTACTAGCCGTTGTAAGTGTAATTAAATGGTCCATTGGTCATTCTGGGGCAGGAAGGGTAAAAATAGTCAATTGTGATGAACAAACAGCTTGGGATTCCCATCCACATAGACTGTGTGTCCCCTAAATGCTAGCTGGAATTTAGAAGGGGGAGCAGACACCCTAAATAACCTCCCGCTGTCTCTCCACCCTTGGCACTCACAACACAAGGAGTACAAATACAGCAGCACTGGACTGAGAGAAGGATCCTGATTTACTTCAGCCAGAAAATTTGCATGAACATGGGGTGAGAAAAATCTTCAGAATAATAGACTTTAAAATGTATTCATCCTGTAAAGGGATGGAAAAGGGGATAGCGAATAAGACAGAGAATATCTTATTGCCTCTGTATAACTCGATGGGATGCACACATCTGGAATACTGCGTACAGATGTGATCACTTCATCCCGAAAAACATCTCTTGGCATTGGAAACTGCCAGAGAAAGGCAACTAAAATGATGAGGGGTTTGGAACGGGTTCCATATGAGGAGAGATTAAAGAGACTGGGACTTTTCAGCTTGGAAAAGAGGAGCCTGAGGGGGGATATGATAGAGGTCTGTAAAGTCATGACGGGTATAGAGAAAGTGAACAAGGAAAAAAGTTATTAACTTGATGCCATAACAAAAGAAGTAGGGGTCACCGAATAAAATGAACAGACAGCATGTTTAAAATAACGAAAAGAAAGTTTTTCGTCAAGCAGTGCAGAGTTAACCTGTGGAACTCCTTGCCAGAGGATGTGGTGAAGGCTAGGACTTTAACAAAGTTCAAAAAAGAGCTAGATAGATTCCTGGAGGTTAGGTCCGGTAATGGCTATTAGCCAGGCTGGGTAAGGAATGGTGTCCCCAGCCTCTGTTTGTCAGAGGGTGGAGATGGATGGCAGGAGAGAGATGGATTGATCATTCCCTGTTCTGCTCACTCCCTCTGGGGCACTTGGCCTTGGCCACTGTCGGCAGACAGGCTACTGGGCTGGATGGACCTTTGGTCTGACCCCGTCTGGCCGTTCTTACGTTCTGATGAACACAGGGTGTGTGTGTGTGGGAGGAGTGGGGGTGATTCTCAGTGTTATCCCCTCCGGGAAGATGGAGGAAGAGCAAAAATAACCCAGGCCCAGGGATCGCCTAGGGAGAGTGGGGTGGAATGAGATTGTGGGGGCTCCCCTGAGGGATGGGGAGCTCAGTGCCAGCCCAGGGAGGTGACGAGACCCTTTGTATGGCTGTGGTCTCCCCCCAGGTGAGATCATCGGGGGCAAGGAAGCCAAACCCCACTCCAGGCCCTACATGGCGTATCTGGAAATACAATTTGGAGAGGAGACGTTTCGCTGCGGCGGCTTCCTGGTGGCAAAGAACTTTGTGCTGACGGCCGCCCACTGCCAGGGAGAGTAAGTGCCTCTGGGCTGGGACGTGGGGGCGGGTGGGACCAGCGGGGGAGGGAGAACTGGGAGCTCTGGGGCCACAGTGGAAGGCAGAGAAGGAGCATGGGGTGGCCAGGCTGAGGGAGCAGAGCTCAGGGGTCTGACCTGCTCAGGGAGAGTCGATGAGTCCCTAGCGGCCTCTGCAACCCACGGCCCAGCTCCAGTGCTGGATAAATCAATGGGGCTGTGGGCAGAGACACCAGCTGAGTCTGGTCCAGGGCCCAGCATAGGGCAGGGAGGGGCCCTAGCCCCAGGGCAGCTCTGCAGGATGCTGGGCTGTGGGGTGGGTAGGGCTCAATACAGGCCCGTGCCTGAATCTGCTGGGACCAGGAGGAGAACAGGGAGTGAAGGGACTCAGGGAATAGCCCAAAGCACTGGGAGAGACAGCAGCGAGGATCCAGGACCACTGGGCAAGGCTTTGTGCAGAAGCCATAGACGGAAAGTCCCCATGCCTATCTCAGGCAGCCCATCGGGGGCTATCTCAGGCAGCCCATCCGGGGCCTGGTCTGTAGGGCTTCACGGGATTTTAATCTCAGCAGCAGAGTCCTAGGTCTGAGCCTGAGAACAGCTGCTCCCTGAGCCCTGCAAAGCAGCATTTCTGTGTGAGACCCAAGCACCCCCAAGCCACTGCCGCTCACGCGCCGGGCATCGTGCTTTGTTTTACAGCACGATCACGGCCGTCCTGGGAGCCCACAGCTTAGAAAAGCGAAGAGAACAACAAAAGATCAAAGTGTCGAAAAAGATCCCCCATGAAAAATACAACAACAGAACAAAGAAAAATGACTTCATGTTGCTGCAGGTACCGCCCCATCCCATCCCCCACCCCAGTGACCTCACACTGCTGCAGGTACCGCCCCCATCCCATCCCCTACCCCCAGGGACCTCACACTGCTGCAGGTACCGCCCAAT